GCCAGAAAAGGTGGCCAGAAAATACTTTTCTTCCTAGTTCTTGCAATCACTAAAAGTGTTTTGCATCCCACTCCAACTCTTGTTCTTCCCAGGCCAGGAGGCCAGGGGCTCAGGAGGTGGGCAAGCATCCGGGCTCTGGGAACTGCAGTGGTTGTGCATCCCCACAGCCTAATAGGGTGCGGGTGTATGAGGCCTTTAGGTTGGGAGGTGCTGTGAAGTGGGGCTGGGAGGTTACCCGGGCAACCTGGGGGCGAACCCCACGAGGACTCACGTGGTCATGGAGGTTGCATGCCCCTCAGCTGCAGGCCTCCCCAAGCCTGTGGCCGGGTGGGCTAACGTGGCCGCCCAACAGGTTCTGGTCCTTTAACCTCCTGACCGCCGGGGACCCTGAAGATGGACGCAACAGCATCCTTGGTGTCTCTGGGGTTTGGTGGGGGCCGAATGTGAGAGCCCACGTCGGATCTCACTGCGTCTACCGCTCTGCACCCATCTCCCCGTCCGGTGGCACACTCACTTTCCAGCATCTGGCTCTTAGATCCAGCGTCTCAGAAGGGGAACTGGACCAAGTCCACCTGGGTCCCCTGCAGGCCTGGATTTTCCGCGCTACTTCCTACAGCTCTGGCTGGAACCTACACTCTTGATTCTCAGGAACCACCTGAGTTCGAGAATATTCAACCCTGAGAGGTGTGCGTGAGCACCCACTGAGGCTCCTGGGAGGACAGGGTGTTACCCAGTGTTTCCACACGCTCTGGATCGGCACCCCGCTGCTCGCAGATCCAGGACGAGCCCCAAGCCCTGGGAGAGCTGCGGCCAATCCGACCTGGGTTCGCTGAGTCTTTTCCCTTTTGTAAACCGAATTTATGAGTCAAAGGCACTGGCCGCGTTACTGTCGCTTTTACTGTGTCTACCAGAAAGAACTGGGCTCCGGGTTCTTTTCAGAAGTCTTTGCCTGTGTGCTGAGAAGCGGATGCTCCTTCTGCCCTTGACTTCGGCCGCCCAACCCCAGCTGCTCCGTGGCGCCCTCTGCTTAGCGCCCCTCTCGCCGCCCAGGGGCAGCAGCAGCCACCCCACCTCCACCCCAGCTAGCTAGACCTACCCCGGTTCCCCAGCTGCCAGGCAAAGAGTTCAGAGATAGCATTGGTTATGTCAGAGAGGGACCTTGGCAGAAAGCGGGAAACCGACGATATCCTGGGTAGTTCCGAAGGCTACCGAAAACAATTTTCTAAAGTTTGTGCTTACGTAAGAAGACATCGCCCAGTCCTTCTGGATGTGTTACAGAAACTTATGTTCCGTTCCTCAACTCTAAAGTTTAACAGTATGTAAATAATAGTCCAACACCCCCATGTGGTCTGAACGTTCTGCATACATTCCAAAATTGTCTACACACTTTCACAGGAGCACCAAGAGATCTGTTTCTTTTATCAAGAATATATTTCAGGACTGGAGGTGGCTCAGCCATTAAAAGCGCTTGCTGCTCTTCCAGAGGACCTGGGTTCGATTACCAGCACCCGCACAGCACTTCACAACCATCTTTTGACCTGCGTGGGCAATTCATGTGCATGGTGCACATACATGCATGAGGGAAAAACACTCACCCACATGAAATAAAAATAGATACAAAAGAATATGAAGTTGAAATCAAATAATTAAAATTCCATGTTACATTTACTCAACTCTTACTTATGTGTTAAGTACTTTACACACTGCACATTTTAATTCACAAAGCCATCTACCAGCTACAGATAAGATGAATTACTGGCTCCATTTTAATGTAGATGATGAAATTGATGCTTGAAAGGTTTGAGAAACTTACAAAATCACAGGGCTAATACATGTTAAAGTCAGAACTCAAAGTTTCTTCAAGTTCAATGCCTTTTCCAGTATCTGAAAGCAACCTAACACACAGCCTGTCATCAGCCTGGGAAGGGTCGAGGGATGTGTTAATGTGATTGCTTTGTTCTAACTCTGTGGGTGGTTTTTCATGTTAACCCTTGCTCGGACTGGGTTTGGAGGGAACCTCAGAACCGGGTACTCTAGGCTTGGGAAAGTGGAGAGCTTTGAATCACCCTCTGGCAGCACCTTTGTGCCAGCACAGGCTCCCCATTTTATAACATCATATTGATTTGAAAAGACAATAAATCTAACAGGAGGAACAGTTTGCAGTTTGCCCCAGTTAATAATGCTGCATATTTCACTATAGTGGTTTCAACACCAACAAGATGCATACCTTAGGGACACCCAAATGACTCACCTCTTGCCCCTGGATTTGTTTGAAGTGGTCTTTTCAGTTCCTTGGTTTGTTACCTCCTCATACTTGCTCAACCTTTCTTGCATTTGTGTTAGCTTTAATAAAAATGACCTCTTGGGTTTTCTGCTCACAGAAGTCCTGAATGGAGCTGTGGTGGCACTTGGAAAAAAGATAGAAGCTGAGTTACAACAATTTAGTTTTTCCTTGTACTGTCAGTTTCTCAGTTTCTTTGAAATGTCCCTTCAGGATACCATAAACTGAGCCATTATGATAAGTAAGAAAAGATAGTACTTCCCCCTGTATAATACCAAATGGCAAATTTTAAATTGAGGTATAATATGACAGCAAATTATTGAAAACTAAATCCAGCAAACACTTGAAGCAGTATATCAAGGTCTTCTCTAACCATGGTCCCTTTCCTCTGCTTCACCACCTCTAAATCCCCCACTCCTTGAGAGAAATCTATTTTCCTCAACAAACCCAAAAAAAATGAGATGAAGAGCAAAAGCACTTGCTGTTCTTCCACTTGGGGGCTGGTGAAACCTCACACCCTCTTCTGGACTCTGCAGGCACCTGAAAGTATCTCTCTCTCTCTAACTCTCTCTCTCTCTCTCTCTCTCTCTCTCACACACACACACACACACACACAAAGAGTTTTTTAAAGATATTGTGCATGAGGGAAGAAGGGAGGGAGGGAGAACAAAAGGGAGGGAAGGAGAGAGTTAGAGATAGAGGCATTAATAATGAAAAGAACTAAAGGATCTGGATTGGTCTACTTTGTCAAAAGCTAGCAGAAGATTAAAGAATGGAGAAACTGATCCACAGATGCATCTAGGTTTAGCCTGTATTCTTAACTACAGTTTAGTCTAAAAGTCTCCAATCTTGCTACCATCTGGCCATAGCTCTGTTTTGGAATTTCTCCAGCTGCCCAGCAACAGCTGCAGGGCCAGGGTCTGATCAGTACCTGGCTTGGGGTATGAGTCCTGGACTTAAGTTTCTCTCTAGCTGGTGGGATAGCCTGGGGCCTGCTTTAAAAGCAAATGGAAGTAGATGATGGAGCAAACCCCTGGTAGCATGAAAAGTATTGTTTTATGAATTTTCCTCAAATATTTACACATCGATATTGTGCATTTGAGATGTCAGAATACGAAAACATTGGCAGGACAGTCAGGACAGCTTATATCAGAATGCCCTCAGATGTCACTGTTTGGTTTACATGAATGTTCTCAATAGTTATTTTGGCTTTCAGTTTCCCCCATAACTTGTTTTCCAGACACTGTGAGGAGGATGCAGTGCGGTGATGAAAGCTGCTTTTCTTTTTCTTTCTTTCTTTTTTCTTCTTAAGACCTACCAAGAGGTCTAATCGCCAGACCAACTAGCTGGAAAAGAGAACAAATATTTACATGGGTAGCTTGAGTGTGTGTGTCCTCTAGAGTTTACGCGGAGTGAGTGAAGCGGATTATCCTGCGAATTTGGAGAATTTAAGCTATTTGGACTCAGCAAGGGCAACAGGACTCCTTCCACCAGGCCGTGGGAAGTCTTGGCCCTGGGCGCGTTTGCAAGGCAGATGGTTTCATGTCCCCCGAGCCTGAGACCTGTAAAGGTCACAGTCAGGCACTACACGTTGCATGGTCCCCGCTGGGCTCCGCACCTTGACCCTCTCTTCGCTTCCTTTCACTTTTCAGAGTCCCTCTCGAGAATAGAAAATACGGCCTAGAGGCGAGCAGCGAGCAACCAAAGTCGCAGTTCCAAGAGCGCAGTCCTCAGCGGGGTGCTCCCTGGTCCTCAGCATTCCTTTCCCAGGGCTGTACCTCTCCAGCTCCGGGTGATGTAACTTGAGGACTGGCCCTGGCACAGGGGGCTGTGCGACACTACCAGCCGGTGCCTCTTCTCTGCTATTTAGCAACTCCGAGCGTCAGTAAGGATGGAAGCCACAGAACTCCCCTAGTTTTCCTCCAGTGGGTTCCGGACCTGTGCCAGACTCCATCCCCGACGGTGCGCGCTGCCTCTCTGCCGGGATCTTCCCGACCAGGCCCTGGTATCGCCCAGATGGTAGTGCCCCCACTACACACGATGTAGGGCTCCCCACGCCCGGGATCCCACAGCCAGGAGGGCGCCGCGCCCTAGACGCGCCCTCGCCGCCCGGCCCCGCCCCGCCCCCGGCCGCACAGTCAGGAAGCGGTGACGTGAGACCTCGCTGACTGGCTGCAGGCCACGGGGACCGCCACCGCCAGCAAATTAAGGCGCGGGGCAGCTGGCTCCGAGGCGCAGTGTCCATCGCACCCCGCCGCGCTGTGCACATCAGCGATCAAGCTCCCAGGTTTCAGTGCCTCGCAGCCCTGCAGGACCGGTCGCAACCTCCAGGACTATTAGGGCCACTCAGTGGTCCCCATCAGCCCAGGGACGAAGGGCGCGGAGTAGCTACCTTGGACCGCTGAGCTCTGCGCAGTGGATGCCCCTTTTCTGCTTCCAGCAGCCTGCGGTCCAGCGGCGTGGCGCCTGGCTTGCACACCTGTGTGAGTCCTCAGCTCGTTCCCCTCCCTCGCCTACTCGCTGTTCCGAAGTTTCTACCCCTCCCTGGCTTTGACAGGAGAGGCCAGCGTGGAGCTCCGGGTAGGGGGCTGTGCGGCTGAACCCGCTGAGACTGCACCCCGGGAGCTCTGCGCTGCGTTTTGGGTCTTTGCCCCCCTTGGGGAAGCTGGACCTCAGCTCCACGGGCCTCGTCCCAGACCAGGACCGCGCGCTGGGGACCATGGAGTTCACCGCGTCACCCAAGCCCCAGCTTTCCTCTCGAGCCAACGCTTTCTCCATCGCCGCGCTGATGTCCAGTGGCGGCCCCAAGGACAAGGAAGCAGCGGAGAATACCATCAAACCCCTGGGTAAGTCGGCGGCATCTGGCTGTGCAGAGTGGCCACAGGTCGAGAGGTCTTCGCATCCTTCTGTCCCTCTGTCCCCTGGTTACCGCTGTTCGCTGGGTTGGCAGTAAAAGCCTGGCCATTTCTCCCGGTGTGCTCAGCTCCTGAGCCTCAGGCTACTGACCAGAGATCCGTCTTGAGAGGGAGATTTTTTTCTTCTCTACCAGAATTTTCTTTGGGGTCTTCAATGTCTGTTGAATGTCACGGGTCCATCTTGTATTTGTAGTTGCTCTCCTTATCAAATTCCGACATCAACGAACATAAGGCTTGCAAATTTATTTGTATCAAAACAACAAGAACAAAAAAGAAATCTTCTTTTAGGACACTGGATTTACCGTGCATGTTACAGCTACGTTTGAAATCGAGATGTTGAGCAACTTCACTAGAAACCACTTGAATTTTTCATTTGAACAAACAGCCAGTCCTTTAACATAAAGGGTTACAGAACAAATCGGTTTCCCAAGTTTTCTCCACAGAAGTCTGGAGCTTATCAGGAAAACATTTTATACTTGCCATTTTAAGTTGAGATAGGCAAAAACTTCCCAAAATTTCTCAACATTTGCCTACACTGTTCTTCTTCATAAAGATATGGATAGTGTCCTTTTTTTTTTTTTTTTTTTTTTATAGAAGACACTAGGCTCAGAGTAAAGGGAGAAAAGAGGCTCAGTTCTCTTTAGCTTCAGTGACTTGTGTGAAAGAAACTGCTCAAGATAAGTGCTTTTAAAATTCCCTTACACTGGAGGGAGAAAGAAGTGTTTTACATTCCTTATAACCTGCTATTCCTACAGTAATCACAATAGTCAAATGGCTAATTTTTCTTTTTAAAAATTTCCCTAATTTTTCCTTTCTTTTCTTTATCTTTTTCCCAACTCTAACATATCATCTCCAAAATATTAACAATATGGGATGGGGCAGAGAAATTCTAAGGGGCTTGAAAAATAAAGAGCTCATGCAGGGACAGGAGAGAGCTAAGGTTCTAAAGCAACTTGGAACCAGGAAGTAAAGGGAAGGTCCCCAGAAAGCAAGGTCAAAAACTGTACTCTGGGCCACAGCCTGCCTGCCTTTCTGCCCTGGTTCTTCTCACCTAGCTTCCATCTAAGTCAAGATCTGCCAAAGTAATGTGAGCTAGCCATCAAGTACTAATTGTTTAGAGAAAGCAATGACTGCTAATTTCAAAGTTGGATTCCTGGGACTCCCTAAATTTTTTCTGGGCATCTCTGTCTCATTTTGGTACCCACTAGGAAAAGAGGTTCTCAGGCTAAAATTCCTGACAGATGTGTGAGCAGTGAGCTGGAAAGCTTGCTAGCTCTAGCATGCCATTCCTACATTAGTCCTTTCTCCGTTTTCCTGAGGAAAAATGCTTCCTTTTCAAAATTTCTAAGTTCTAAGTAATAAGCCAATCCCTGCTCTCAACAAACCCTCTAAGCCTTCCCCAACCCACCTTCCTACCCACAGCCTCTGGCTTTGAGTAAGAGTATTTACCAGTCCAACAAAGCACCATTGATGACTAAGTCAAAGACTCTAACAATAAAAACACCTAAAGGTTCTGTGAAGAGAAACACAGTGTTTCTTGTTGAAACAAACTGCAAAGGGGGTCCAATGTGTCAAACACAGGATCTCTACTTGAAAGAACAATTAGAGCCATCTGCCTTCACTTCTGTGATGCTCTGGCTGGTGTGGGGCTTAGGGAGTTTGCCTGCCAGTTGTTGGAAAATAAGAAAATCTTAAGGTTATTTTCTAATGCCCTATAAAGTCATTGTGTGAAAGTGTTTCCAAAAATGTTATGAGAAAATACAGGTTGGCAGGGTCAGGTTTCTTTTCCTTGATTTTGAAACAATCTATACAACAATTTGATTATTCTTAAAATATCTCCATGAGTTTGATTATTGTATGAGAAGAAAAGACAAAGTTGATCTATTTTCTGTTTGCTTCACATCAAGAAGTGCAAGAATAATAAAATATTTCATAATATAATCTCATCCCACAAACCCACATACAATCATGACTGTGCTCGCATGAGTGAGTGCACTCTCAAGCAACTAGAACTGATTTGTTTTCCTTGAGGACACTTAGAACACCCTTGTTTTGAGATTAGATTCACATTGCCAATTTAAGTAGTTTCTTTTTTAATAGATGAAAGATAATTGGCACAAATTTTACAAACCTCCCTGTATTCCATCAAAGTGACTGGTGGAGTCTCAGTTCCTTATCAGTTAGTAAGGAGAGTGTTTGGTCTTTAGGCTGATCCTCAGGGAGATGACAAAACATTCTCCCCACTTTAATTCCCTGCTAGTTAGGGTTGAAGTTGTTTTCCTCACTTCCAGGGACAGTTTAAGAAAAAACAGTTGCATACATTACCTTTGAGAAATCGGTCAATACTTTTCAAAAATGGAGAGGTCTTCAGGAGAGGAGGGAGCAGTGTGCTGCTTCACAGGCTACGAAGTCTGGGAGGGATAATTTTAGAAACATTTGCATTTTATCCATCATGACCACAACTTTCCCTTGTTCCATTCCGCGTATTTCTAGTCCCAAAGTAGGTTTCAGTAATGTGAGTAATAAGCCCTGGTTCTCGACCCTTCTCCTTTGCTTTAGTTAGCAGCGAACCCTAGGCATGTCACTCTACAGGGGTAAGAGATGTGTTTTGCACAGTGGTGGGTCATCTCTGTGATGCTGGAGTTTCTGAATTTAGCGGTTTCAGATTCAGATGCGTGTTTTGGATAGCTGTTTCGCTCCTTCCTACATCTAACCCTGTTTGCCAACGTCACCAGTCACCCTGTGTTCTCTTTGTTTCCAGAGCAATTCGTGGAGAAGTCTTCTTGCGCGCAGCCCCTGGGTGAGCTGACAAGCCTGGAAGCTCACTCGGAGTTCGGCGGCGGGGGCGGCAGCCCTTCCTCCTCCCTGTGCACAGAGCCCCTGATCCCCACTACGCCCATCATCCCCAGCGAGGAGATGGCCAAAATCGCCTGCAGCCTGGAAACCAAGGAGCTCTGGGACAAATTCCACGAGCTGGGGACCGAGATGATCATCACCAAATCCGGCAGGTAACTGACCAAGCTGCTTGCCGGGCTTCTGGGAGCTGCCTGGAGAGCTGCGGGGCTGAGAGATGGCTGTGCTCCGAGTCTGAGTCAGTGGCTTCCTTAGACAGGGCTGTGGAAGCGGATCTTGCTTTCACAGGATCTGGCTGCGAGACATCGCACCCGGGCCTGGGTGAGAAAGTCACAGAGGCTGGTGACCCCAGGACCTGGTCTTTTTTTCCCCACACCCAGGCAGTTTTGGGATTCTGGGTGAAGGGAGGCGGGGATGTTGGTTGGGTACCTTCAACTAGCGGAAGCTGTCAGTTCCTAACAGAAACTAAATAGAAAACCGGAAGAACGAAATTTGAGAGATGAAATGCCCGCAGGAAGGAGTGCTGGGGCGGTGGCCCGGGAGCGCAAGAGCTGAAAAAATGCGCTAGTCGGTCGCCCAGCTCGCTCCAGATCTCTCCCGCCATGTGCGAATCCCGTTTGACTCTTATTTTAGGTGTGTTGCTCTACTGGGTCAGCTCTGATAATTTGGGAAAAAACAAACCAAGCACAAAACTTTAACCTACCAGTAAGGGCTCTTGTAAATGTGACACAGAATTATTCTTGAGGGAAAGTGGTGTGTCTGTGTAGTCACATCTCTGGGGCTTTTTGATAGGCCGAAGGGGAGCTGGGAGTGGGGGGTCTGGAAAACGAGGGCATCCAGCTCTCTTCCTCCCTTCAGGATTCAGGTTAGCTCATTACTAGAATAAATCAGCGTCTACACCTTCTTGTCTTTGCCAGGAGGATGTTCCCGACCATCCGCGTGTCATTTTCGGGAGTGGATCCTGAAGCCAAATACATAGTCTTGATGGACATCGTTCCGGTGGATAACAAGAGGTATCGCTACGCCTACCACCGGTCGTCCTGGCTGGTGGCGGGCAAAGCTGACCCTCCACTGCCAGCCAGGTTCGTGACTCAGGATTTCTTGCAGAGGAAAGTGGTATTAACCTTTCCTGTAGAATGTCGGCTTGTGTGAATTTTAAGCAGATCTGATTTTAACCACCGGGCTGGGCTCTGGCATGAGAGATTTCCAAGCCTAGAAACTCCAGGATGAATACAAAACGTGTCTTTTAATTTCCAAGAAGGTAAAGTTTGTATAGAGAAAACATTTCCTTTAATTTTATCTTTCATTATAATCATCCCAAAGTTTCGTTAAATTTCAGTTTGAATACTTGTTAGAAATGTGACCCTTTATATATTTACATATATATGCATAATATTTATGATAGGCTATTCAAAACCAGAAAAAATAAACATGTTGAAATGAAATGGTTGCTCTAAAAATCTTTTTATGAATTATATATTTTAGGAAAATATTTATTAGCAGTAAATATTTTTAAATAATTTGCTAACGGCATGGTTATATCTATACATAATAAATGTTGTTTGGGTAAAATTAGTTGTTTTTGACCCGCAGAAGACTCACAGCTTTTAGGTAAGGAAAGCATCCTTTTTCCCCACTCTCCACAATTTTAATTGTTAAATGTCATTCAACAAGTTAGTATTCTTTTACATGAAACATAATTAATATATTAAAGAAAATGCAACTTGTTTTCTTGGTTGCCATTGCTAATATTTTTCTAGGAGTTCTCTGTTTTTAAAAAAGTCCATACAAACATTTAGCATCACTGTTTTATCCAAATTAGCATTCAAGAGGAACAGTAACAGCTGAAGTTACAGGGTTCTAACTGTGTGCTTTAATAGAAAACAAAGAATATTAGCTAACTTGGTTATTCTGATTTAAAAACTGCACAGCCTTTGTTTCATGACTACTTTTTTTTGGTAATTGATTGAAAGTTAGAATCACAGCTAAGAATTATTTCAATGTACAGATTTAGAATCTTTGAATGTATGGCTGGTTCTTTGTAAGAATCAGGTCTGGAGTTATAGCCAAGGCTCAGAGGCAGCAGGGACAGTGGAGAGAGTTCAGAAGCATCCAGCTTTATTAGAAGCTGATCAGGTTAGTGGGCTTGCTGTATGCTAAAGGCCTGAGAAGAGATAACAGGAGACTTTGAAGAGCCACAGAAGGCTGAGTTCTGAAGGCTTCCAAATCAGTATATTAAACAACAATCAGGACTATGAAATATTTTCAAATGACATCCTGGTTTTGATGACTGGAAAAACAAGTTATTAAAACGATTAGGAATGGTGTTTTTTAATTATGTACTTCTGAAAAACCAATTCAATATTCTTGATTAAGTTTTGAGACAGCCTTACCATGTAGCCCAGCTTAGTATGGTTCCTCATGAGCCTCCTATCTCAGTCTCTAGAGTGCTGGGGTTACAGATGGGCTCACAGATGACCAGCTTGCATTTAAAAAACAACACACTGGAGAGAGAGAGAGAGAGAGAGAGAGAGAGAGAGAGAGAGAGAGAGACTGAGTGAATTCCTAACCATTTTTATAAGCAAACATTCTTTTGTCTTCTCTAGTCTTCCTTCTAAGAAGTTAATCACTCTTATTTATCTTACATTTTCTTCCTATCTGAAGGTATGGGGAATGGTGCAGGCCAGCAGGACTGTAGAAATATGACATGCCTTGTTTATGTTTCTAATCTGTTCTGGTTAGAGAAAGAAAGCGCCTACCAATACACTATCTGAACTGAGGCTTGTTTAAGCTATTGCTGGAATTTTAAGTCGGGGGTAAAGGGGTTGAGAAAGGAGGGGGCTTCCTGTATGCTGTTTCATTTATTCTGGTTCAGCTTATTTATATTAATATTAGATAAAACCATAACACAGAAACATTCCAGAAAATTCATGCAAATTCTTTATTATTGTTATTAACAAAAAAATGATCTGCTATTTCTACCTCCATAAAGGAAGGAAAGGGGAAGAATTCAGAAATGAGAACTTTTGAACTGATGGTAGAAGCTCCTAGTGATTCTTAATCTTAGGAGCATTTTTTTCCCCTCAGACTGAAGTTCGTTAGTCAGTGATTTTTAACTACACATACTATATATAATAAACTATATTTGACAATATTTGATAGTAGTAATGAACAAGGCATTGTTTGTGATCTGCAACAATGCTGCATTGTAATCGATATTTGAGTAAGTTACTATTCACATTATTATGATTACATATAGTGAATGTGATAAAGAAGAAACACGTCATCAATTTCTAGATCTTTTAGTAATTTCGGACTTTTCAGGGAGGATGTGATACCGATCCGTAAAATAACTGTACTTAAGAAATGACACCCTTGAAGAGATACAACTTGAAAGGATATTGTATTTGTGCTAGAGCACCCCTATCAAGACAATGAAAAAAACAAACACACAAACAAGTTTTTGAGACCTGTGAAATTCTGGGTCAGGTAGCACATCTGTGCTGCAGCTAGTCCTTTGCTCCTGGTGAGTTTCATGCCTTGCAGCATTGGCACAAATGCTTCTGTTCTTGACTCTTTTGTGTGACCAACCTTGACACAGATTTCTCATTTTCACCTATTGCAAGCAAGAGACACTTGTTTTGTGACTTTTTCTTGCTTTGTCCAACCTATTTATTAATTCTAGTTATAAGGGTCCTATTTTAAAAAATACATAAATGAGCTTATCTATGGATAAAGGAATTTATCAGAACTGGTGATCTAGCTCAGTGATATAGCATGAATTCAGCATTCACCAAACTCAGAGTTCGATTCCCAGGATATACACACAGACACACACACACACACACACACACAGACACACACACACACACACACACACACACACACACACAGACACACACACAGGCAAAACCAAAAACCAAAACAAAACAAAAAAGCAAAAAAAAAAAAAAGAAGAGAAAAAAGAAAAAAAATTAAAGGATTTCATCTTCATCTTCTCCCTCGTTAATTCTGTCATCTCACTGATTTTGAAAGATGATATGAGGAAGACATCAATATTAAGATTTACAAAGTGCTATACGTGGGGTGGGCGTGGTAGTTAAAACAAATGACTTGCATTCATTTTACTGTAAATATTGCCTCACATATAACGACTAATCAGTAAATGATAGATTTTTCTCATCAAACCTCTTTTTTTTTAACTTAAGCTGTTTATAAATGAATCAGTTAATGATTTGAAGTTTATCCATCTTACTTAATCTCCCAATTAGCAATTATTCAAACAGACAATAGCTATAGAATTCAAATAGGGGGAACAGTAAGACTCTCACTCTGACCTGTGGACTAGTAAATTTTCTCTTGTCCCTGTGCTAAGGATCAGTCTACTTCATCTTTGTAAATAACACACCTTTATACTGATCCACTTTTAAGTTTAGATAAATTGATTCTCTAAAATTCTTTTCTTTTCATAGCTTTACAGTAATGCTTACATTAGAAACTCAGACAATTACTGTTAATCTGGTCTTTTATGTCAAAATACCTGGGCAGTAAGATTTTGTGTTTGATAAACATAAATCAGTACCAGACTAGCTAGGCGTAAAAAATCCAACTCACCTTTGAAAAATGGCTTGCCTATCAGATAATAGAAAGAACATTCTTTACCCCCTTTAGGCCATTAGTACATGAGGAAGTATACCAGATGCTTAGACTTATTTACACATTGCTGTTTTAATAAATTTGAGGTATGTGGAGCAAATAAGATGGGTAACCTATATAAAATTTACATGTTCCTTCAGAATCAGAACATTGAGAATAAAGACAGTTTGTTTTAAAAATATTTTAATTGATTCTTTGAGAATTTCATATGGTGTATTTGATGGATCATATTCAGACTCCCTCCCTCATCTCCAGCTCCACCTTAGTACATTCCTGAGTTCATGGCCTCTATTATTATTATTATTATTATTATTGTTTTGTTGTTTTTTTTTTTGAGACAGGATCTCCCTGTAGCCTCAGATGGCCTAGAGTTCACTACACAGACCAGGCTGGTTTCAATTTCATTTCATAGAAATTCACCTGCCTCTGCCTCCTGAGTACTGGGATTCAAGGAGTGAGCCACCATGCCCGACTTTATTATTGGTTTTTTTTAAAGGCCTATAAAGTCAATTTGTGTTCTCCCAATGCTCTTGGGTGTGGATCCATGCTCTGGAGCCTGGTTACCCTACCTGGCATCACACTCTTCAAAGAAAACTGACTTTCTCACCCAGAAACTATCACTTGCCAATCAGTCCTCAGCTAGGTCTGGGACTTCTTGTCCATTTCCCCTATCCTTGCTAGGTTTTTGTGTGACTTGGGCTTGAGCATGTCACAAGTTCATGTGTGTAACTGCCCTTTTGTGTCTGGAAAACACAGTTTCCTTTATTTAGCCACCACCTCTGGCTCTTACAGCCTGTCTGCCCTCTATTCTGCAAGGCTCTCTGAATCTTGGGAGAAGAGGATATGATACAAGTGTCCCACTTAGGGCTGACCACTTCGCAGTCTCCTTTTCTCTGTATTTTGACCAGTTGTGTGTCTCTGTGTTTAATCTCCATATGCTGCAAGAAGAAACTTCTCTGGTGAGAGCTGAGAGATGCACTCATGTACGTGTTTAACAATAAGTCTTTAAGATTCAGTTTAGTACTATGCCTTTTTAGCAGAATAATAGCAGTAGGTTCTTACCTATGGCCTGTAACCTGTCTAATTACAGGTTCTTGGCCCTGATAACAGTGCCAGGTATGCACTCCATTTTGTGAAGCGTGTAGCTCAGGCTGATCTCAAACTCTAAATCCTCGTTCAGCATTCTGAGTTTGGGGATTACATTTGTCTGTGCCAGCATGCTTAACTCAAGAAAGATTTTTAAAATGTGTCTCAATTAAGTTCTCTAATAATCTTCTTAGGCTCTATGTACATCCAGACTCTCCCTTTACTGGTGAGCAGCTACTCAAGCAGATGGTGTCTTTTGAGAAGGTGAAACTCACCAACAATGAGCTGGATCAACATGGCCATGTAAGTACCTTGGACTTAGAATGTTCCCTTGAAAGCAATGGGCACGTTACACAAAACATCCTGTCTCTGATCCCTCTCTCCCCACTCCCCACGTTCCACTTTCCATCTCTGAGTCATTCTATGAGAACATTCATAGGTTCATCAGCAGACCCTGACTACTTCTGTTAAGAAGTCATTTATGGCATGTTGTATGTCACTGCTGTGTAAAGGGGTAAGGGGTCTGTGCCACCAACTTCCCAACACTTCTTTAACACTTTACCACCTTTGCCAACAAAGTAAAGGAATCCACATTTACAGAGGGTATCACAGCCTGTTTCTTGGTTAAACATTTTTTACTCTGTTAGTGTATCAGATAAAATAGTATAAAGAGAATGGGACCAAGACTTCCTGTGGGACTGTGTTCTATAGAACACATTCATTCGAGATGCAAAGGAATGAAAGGGCCTAATTTCCAAATTTCCAAATTGGTTGGCAAAGTTATTGACTTCCATTTTGGGAAAATTTTCTAACTGTTAAAACATAGATATACTTTGCAACTGAAAACAAAGCAGCAGCTGTGGTGTTTGCTGCACATCTGTAATCCCAGCAGTTGGGGAGCAGAGGCAGGAGGACTGTTGAAAGTTTGTGGCTAATCAGGTCAAAACAGTGAGTCACAGGTCAGTATGGCTCCATAGTAAGACCTCCTTTCAAAGCAAAACAAAGCAAAAGCAGATTTGATTTTGTATCAGTAAAGAGCTCGTGATAATATGGCCAAAAGCAATACTACTCTGAGTTCCTACCAACAGCTAACAGACCAAATAACCATTTTGGTGTGCCTACATGTACGTGCACCCATGTCATACAGTGCCTGCGGAGCACCGAAGAGGGGGTCAGATCCCCTGGAACTGGAGATACAGAATGGTTGTTAGCCACCATGTGGGTGCTGGGATTTGAATCCTGGTTTTCTGGAAGAGCAGCCAGTGCTCTTAACTGCTGAGTCATCTCTTCAGCTGGACATGTTTTTCTTTTAGCCCTAGCTTCATGGGTGGGAGGAGCCCTAAACTGGCTTTCTCACCTGATTGTGTAAAGATTAGATGTTGTTAAATTGTTGAGTCTCAGTGGTAACTTAATTCCACTTTAGCCTCAAAGCTTTTATGATTTAATATTACCCCTTTTCTCCATAACTAGTGTACTCTGAAACCTGGGAGGAAAGAATTTAGTTACTGATTGTTTAACCTGCTTGGAATCAGTTCTGAAGATGCCCTCTACCCCACCTTATATTACAAACGTATGTTTCAGTCTTCTGACAGGAACATTCACTATTCCCCAAAAGTTATTTCCTCAGGAAAACACATTCTTTGTTTCTGTTAGTGTTTCAGAGCCCCCATGAGCACTGGAGCAGAGTTAGGAGGCCCTGTAGTCTGACACTGTTCAGAGCCTATACCCAAAGGAAAGTGGTCTGGGAGGATCAGAATGGGAGAAGGCTGTTATTTAATGCTTACAGTTTCTTGGTATTTTGTTTTTTGTTCTCATTTTGGTATGTGTATGAGTGGTTGGTTGGGAATGTGATTTGACAGTTTTTCTTAGCACTTAGAATATACAAGGGATGCTGAATTTTTTTTATATTAGCACATATATGTTTGCTTTTGTTACTTCAAATTTATGCCAGGTCTACAATTAAGTATCAATATCTTGACTCCTTGGAGGAAGCACATTATACAGAGAAATGACATCATTCTTTTATGAAGTTTATTTCAAAACATTTGAAGATCTTTCTTCCCTTACTTGCTGCTATTCTGGTTTATGACCATGAAAAGATGGCAGATGCAAAGCTCATTCCTCCTTATTACTTCAGATTGGCTAAACCATGAAAACATGAATGCCCATCACTTATATGAAATGGGACACTATTGCCATTTAACTTCCTCAATATTGTGAGTATTGTTAGACTACTAGTAATACCTAATAAAATGTAAACGCTATGTGAATAGTTATTATACTGAATCATTTAAGGAAATGACAAGAAAAAAGTCTACATGTTCAGAATAAACACAACATTTTGGTCTAAGGTTGTTTAAATCTGCAGAGACACAACCCAACCTGAAGAGGCAGAGGTCCATTGTATGTCAGTTTTCCACAGTAACTAGTAGATAATTGGCTACATCCAGTCAACAAAAACACCCATGCACATCCATCCATTAGTCAAGCAAACAAGGGAGCCATCAGCTGCAATCTCACTGTAGCAAGCAGTACCAAGTGTAGTGGCTCTGACACACTGTTTAGGGGGATTGCCAAGAGTGTGAGATCAGCCAGGGCTGCAAAGTAAAAACTTTCCTCAAAACAAACAAGAAAAAGTTTTGCTGCTCAGATTTATTTTTTTATATAATTAAAAAAATATTTATTTACCTTCCTATGTACAATCATTTAAGAATATATTTGTTAGGAAAAGAGGATTTAACAATTTAACCATTTTTTTCTATACTTTAAAAATGTTTTATTTATTTATTTATTTATTTATTTATTGTTTTTTTTTGGTGGGGGGGAATCCTAACTAGCTTACTGGGCTTGCTAACAGAGCATAGGGTGGGGGTTTATCTACAGAAGAGTGGGTGCACCCCCATTTATGACTGCCCTGGAAAGTCCACTCTCAAATATAGATCCTGTGACTTCCCCAAAGCTGCACAAAATGGTGAGAGAGGTGCCTCATGGCATTCTCGAATTATAGATCCTTAGCCCTTCCCCCACATGCAGCTAAAGTCAACTGATTAGATGGGAGGGGTAACTGACTCCTCCATTAACTCTTTGATGAGCATAGGAAGGAGATGTGGCTACAGCTTGCCGGCATAGTAGGCATAGTGGTCGGAGGACACTTTCAGTTGACACTCACCCCTTCCTCCAGATCTTACATTCTTTCCACCAACCTCAACTGAAAAAGTCCCTGAGCCTTGGAGGGGGTGATAGGTGTGAGATGATCTTCTTCCCATTGTGTCAAGGCACTGAACTTTCGTGTCTCTGCATCATCTGTTTTCTATGGGCTATTGTATTAGTTATTTTTCTGCTGCTGTGGCAGAAACACTGACCAAAGCAATTTATAGAAGGAAGAGTTTATTTGAGCCTATAGTTCCAGGGGAATTACAGTCCATCACGGGAGGGAGCCATGGCGGCAGAGGTGGCTAGAGGAGGAATGGAAGCTAAGCTCTACATGTTCCAGCAGGCACAGGAAACAAGAGAGCAACTGGAGATCGGGCAAGCCTTAAGAACACTCTAAGCCCATCCCCAGTGATGTGCTTCCTCCAGCATAGCCACACCTTCTAACACCTCCCAAAACAGCGCCACCAACTGGGGACAAAATGTCCAAATACTTGGAGCCTATGGGCGACACTTTCATTCAAACCACCACAATTGTTGGCCCATTTCAGTGGGATTCCATCTACTATAAAAACACAAACAGCAAGAAGCAAAAACATCAAAACAGTGGCTGCTGTAATAACATAACCTATGGGCATAAACACAAATGTTTGGATGATACTGTAGCAGGTGTACAACACAACTGCAGTGCCTTCCCCACGGGGGCTTATATCCTCCCCTGCCACAGGGGGTTGGCCTGCTCTACACTACCAGAGGCGTGTTCCACCTCTAGGAGCAGGCATTATATCCAAATGAAAATCTACTGATTGTACATACACTAGACATGCCACTATTGCATCAGCTGAAACATCTTGCTTGGCATGTTGATAGTGCAGCATGTGGGGTCTGTCATTGAGCAGAATTATAAAGGATAGTTCTCCCTCAGCCATCTGCATGTTGCCTTCTGGCACCATAAAGTCCTATATAGTGGCAAACATTTATATTTTTCTTAAAAGATAAATGAAGGGCTGAAGAGATGGCTTAGCAGTTAAGAACATTTGCTGTTCTTCCAGGACTTGGGTTCCATCCCCAGCACCCACATAACAGCTAACAATCTTTTGTAACTCCATTTTCGGGGGGATATGACACCCTCTTCTGGCCTCTGCAGGGCATTGCATGTATGTGGTACACCTACATATATGCAGGCAAAACACTCATACACATAAAATAAAAATAACTAAAAAAAGATAAATGAAAATATCTCTTAGTATGTTTGTGATTTCTAAGAACTTGTTACTTTTATTAGTTACAGAATGGAAGATGGCCATCATTGTGATTAAGGCTTAAATTTTTAAAATTTATTTTGCTTATTTTTATTTTATGTGTATGAGTGTTCTGCCTACATGTATGCAAGTTCACCCATGTTGTACAATGCCAGAGGAGACCAGAAGAGGGAGGGTGTTGGATCCCCTGGAACTGGAATTATGGATGGTTGTTAGCCACCATGTGGGTGTTGGGAGCCAAACCTGGGTCCTCTGCAAGAGCAGCCAGTGCTCTTAACTGCTGAGCCATCTCTCCAGCCCCATGATTAAGATTTAAAGAAACTGTCATAAATAACAACACGGCTCACATTTATTGAGCACATCTTATTTTGTGCTTTATAGACTTAACACTTTCTAGGGGATGGAGAGATGGCTCAGTGGTTAGGAGCATTTGCTGCTCTGTCATGAGGACCAGAGTTCAGATCCCAGCATCCATGCCAGGTGACACACAGACACACCCTAAACTCTAGCTCCAAGGGATCTGATGCCTTGTTCTGGCCTTTAGTGGCACCTGCACATATATGTGTCCATACACTCATGGACACAGACAGAGACACACACAGACACACACACAGAGGCATGCACCAATACACACACACACACACACACACACACACACACACACACAATAAAAGAGTTACAGTCTTTATCCACACCACAGTCCTGTGAGTGTAGTACTGTTTCTACATTTGAGAAAACTCCTGGTTGGAGAGATAGGATCATTTGCTCCAATATAAAAGAGCTGTGAAATAGCAGATTCTAACCCATGTCTGACTAATACAACACCGCATTTGTAAATTGTTTTATTTTTTTCCACTGTAAATAGCAATCTGGACTCCTAGAATATATAATTTTTTCATATACTTTTTATTTTAGAAAATTTAGACATGCATTTTGTAGTCTACCTAGACTAACAAAAATTATTTTGAAGACTTGTTTTTATTTTTCTTACATTTATTTATTTTGTGTGTGCATGTGTGAGAGTGTGTGCTTGTATTCACGTCATGGCCTGTGTGTGGAGTCAGGAGGACAACTGATGGAAGCCAAGTCTCTCCTACTATGTGGGTCCCAGGGACTGAATACAATTTGTCTCATTGGAGGCAAACACTTTAACCTTTGAGCCATCTTGCCGGCCCAGGATTTGTTTTTATGTGTGAGTGTTTTGCCTACATGTAAGTAAGTGCACTCATGTTGCAATGCCTATGGATACCCAAAGAGGCTATTGGATTTCCTGAAACTGGAGTTATAGACAGCTGTTAAACCACCTTGTGGGTGCTGGGAACCCAAATCTTGTTCTCTGAAAGTCCAGCAAGCTCTCTTCACCATTGAAGCATCTCTCCAGGCCCAAGACTTGTTTTTAAAATAATCAAACTCGGGCTGATAAGTGGGCTTAGTTGATAAAGTGCCTACCACAGAAGTATGGGAACCTACACCCACTTAAAAACCAAATATCAGCACTGGGAGTATGGGGTGGAGACAGATGGATCCCAGAGCTCACTAGCCAGCCAAGCTATCTAGTCAGTTAACAACTGGTTCAGTGAGAGACCTTGTCTCAAAAAAGTGTGGTAGAGATAGACTGAGGAAGACACCCAGCGTCTAGTGCATGACCTTTATGTACTTGCCCCCACATGCACATGTGCATCCACACAAATATGAATGCCCCCAAACACTATATGCATACACATGAAATAAAAGAGAATAATAAATAAAACTTACCCTGCAGATGACTTCCATCCTGCCCCTCATAATTTATAAAAGACTCTTGAAACTGCTTGTGTGATATGCAGATGTTTTGATAAAATGTGATTCAGCACAATGACTGTATTTTTATGTGAAAATGATTTGCTGGAAGAATGGAAAGTTCAATCCTAATCTTAAAATTGAATTTGAAGTTGTAGATTTTGTGGTTCTTGCTTTACCTCACTCTACTTTGGCCTGGTAAAATTCAGGACTTCCTATCTCTTTACTGTAGATAATTTTGAATTCAATGCATAAGTACCAGCCGCGTGTGCATATCATTAAGAAGAAAGACCACACAGCCTCACTGCTCAATCTGAAGTCTGAAGAATTCAGAACATTCATCTTTCCAGAGACGGTTTTCACTGCAGTCACCGCCTACCAGAATCAGCTGGTGAGTGCATGGTTTGTAATTTAGTTTCTGAGCAAGATCAGGACTTCTTACATACCTTTTTTTTTTTTTTTAACAAAAGGGTTTCCCCAGCACTCAAAATGGATATTTCCTTTGGAAGGAGCTATTGAATGTCAGCCCTATGACCTCTAAAATATATTGAGTGATCACACATTGTACCATCTTATCTTCTATGACCTTGGTACTGGAGTTCAGGCTGTTCATTACCTGTTTCTTGACCCAATCCTACCCTAGTATGCCTTCTGCAGAAAAATCCCTGCTGCCCCTCTTTCCTCCTGTAGAATCATGTTGTTGCTTCATAAAATTTGAAAGTTCAAACTTTCTAATAAACCTGTCTACTAGCTAGCTGCCCAAATTACTGACACAAGATATTTTGTGAGGCTTGCTTGGCCACAATTTAGGACCAGTAAAATGGTTGTAAATAGCTCTTTATATAATAAACTGCAGCTGTGTATTTAATTAGCATCAAGATATCTAATTTACAGTATTAGGTTATATTTTCTACTCTCTGTCACCATATTTTAAATGTGTACATTACTCGCATTCATAAGATTCATAAGATTCATTCATAAAATATTTATCAAGTTCCCACCAAGGTCCAAGTGTTGTTAAACACTTGCCCAGACATTCTGTTCTTTTGGGATCAGCAGAGCTTTCCAGCCTTATAGCAATAGTGATGTTGTATGGGAGGAAGTGAGGACAAGAAAGGGTCAGTCACTTTTCTGTGGTCAGGAAAACCGGGAGTAACATTCCTTTGGGTGTACTTAGTAGAAGGAGCTCACACCTTCTGTTTAATTAACAAATTAGGCCATTCAAAGCCTTTTCAGGGCTTTGGGTGTTGCTTTTATTTGATTAGTCATAAGTTGCTAGGATGCCTGCTCTCCTCTTGCCATAATGTTGATGTATTAGGGGTTCTGAATGGATAACTACCAGGCGCTGCCTGATAACTGCCTCTGAATCCAACACAGCTGGCCAGACAGAGGAGATGCAGTGCCTCTCAGGAAAGGCAGGAGGAAGCTGAAAGCGCAGACAGCTCTGTGCAAATGAGAAAGTGGAAGATCAGAGAAGGGATGTGGGCACATGGCCAGCATGGATGACAAGCTCATCCTGTAACTTCTGTTTGACCTTAAGAAGTTTTCATTCCACTACTGTGGCTGCTGGTTTTCTTACCTGCAAGCTGGGATGAGAACCGACCAGGGGATTGCAGTGAAGCTCAGATGATGTGATCAGGATGCCTTTGGAAACTGAGGTTGGACTGCTTAGGAGTGTCAAGGGTGTTTACCGACATTTGGATTTTAAAATTTCAGTGGCGGTGCCTTGGAGATGGCTGATGACCTGAGTTCGATCCCTAGATTCCACAAGGTGGCAGGAGAGAACCCATTTCCTAGAGTTGCCCTCTGTCCTCCACAAGAAAACCACACCAGACATAGGCGCGCGTGTGCGCGCACGCGCGCGCGCACACACACACACACACACACACACGTGCGCATACACACAAACACACAAATAAATAAATAAAAATAAATATATATCTTAAAAACTTGATTTAAAATAATTTTCATGAGAATTTGGGCTTATATTAATAAGCAAATCAGTTACCTAGTCCTGCTTAATAGGATTTAAAGAAAAAATAAAACATTGCAAATTAAAAAGTCAATGGCATATTTGTCAGTAAGATAAAGCAATATATAGTTGTTATGCAAGTCATCGTATTGTAGAAGCAATGTGTTATTCCTTTTGTTTATCTCCAAGATGACAACATAAAGAGAGAGGCTTTCAGAGAATATCCAAGCTAAAACTTTGTTTAGAGACCAAAGTCTATAAAAACTTGAAACCCTGCTGCTGCTGTTTCCTGAAGATCTTTTGAATCCACAATTCCATTTGTATTGAAGGTACATGGAGCAGATCTCAGGTTCAGAAAAGATTCTTGAAATATTTAACTCATTTTACATTAAATGAGTGTATAATTTTATGATATAAATATCAGATTTATAAAAATTTAAGAAACCTAGGTCTGGAGAGATGGCTCAGTGGTTAAAAGCACTGGATTCCCAGCACCCACATTGCGGCTAATAACCTTCCATAATTCCAGTTCCAGGGGATCCTACACCATCTTCTGACTTCTATGGGCATTGCACAACATGGGTACATTTACATACATGTGGCAAAACATTCATACACATAAAATAAAAATAATAAATAAAATATATACAAAGCATATTATGAAATTGGAACAGTAGTAATTTTATCCTGCAATATAAAGTTGAGAAAATTGAGGCACAGGATAAAAGAATCATTCAGTGTAGCTTTGCTACACCCTTCACGGCTTTGAATCAAGGGCATCAGACTCCTTATCTCTAAGCTGGGAGTCCCCTTTCAAGGAGCAGAACTTGTCTCCCCTTGACCTCTGACCCTGATGGATTGTCAAACATCCTTTCTAGAGAGTTTCAAGTCATTATTTCCCCCTCAAAATACTCACTGCTTATTTGTTGTGTGCAGATCTGAGTTCACACAGTACATTTGTGAGTGTAACATGAGTGTTACCAGCCTGAAATGGAGGGTATAACATCAATTAAGCTAGCTATATGCCACAGAAATGACATTTTAATGATATTATCTCATTGAATTTTTTCACTAAATTATTTGCTTAGAGAAACTTCAAATATATAAAAGAAAATATTAAAAACAAATGGTCAAATGAACCTCTTGTACTCATCACTCAGGTTTGACAAGTAACTTTGCCACTTTTGCTTCGTCTCCCTCCCTTCCTCCTCCTCTTCTCGGTACATACTTTTTTCTTTCCCTCGGTCATTCAAAAGTAAGATTCTTGCATTGTCACTCTACTAAAGCATATCCCCACAGAAAGAATATGATTTTGTAACCATAATGTCTTTACCACAACTAAAAAAATCAATAAGAATAAGAGCCAGGGGTGGTGGATGACCACAAGGAAACAGAGTTTTCCAAGCAGCTGTGAACTTGCTCATATGAATTTACAGCAATGGTAACAATATGCACAAGGCCCATGTGAACTCAAATCAGACAAAAGCCCAGCATAGAACTGGGGAAATGGGAAAGAAGCCCCAACCTTAGCTGAGACACTATTGGCAGCTGATCACTGCTGGATGAGGGAGTTGGTCTTCTTTAAGAGGATGACGCCAAGTAGGTTGGTCAGGCTCCAGTGGACGGACTTATACTGAGGGACATTTAAGGACACAAATTTGACTCAATAGGCCTTAACATATATGAAAGAATGCATGAAATTAGGAGAGGGAGCTATGAGGGGGTGCAGGTAGGGGAAGGGGTCTACATATAATCAAGATATATTGTATGAAATGCACAAAAATTCAATAAAAATTTAAGAGGTGAAATTAAATTTTAAAAGATATATTCCTTAATGTTGTGTTATAGTCAGCTCATTAAAACGTTTTACTATTAACTATTAATGTCCACTGTGACTTTGTTTTTTCCTCTGTACTAAGCTCCAACTAGAATTTGTAGTTTAGAAATTAATTTGTAAAAATCCTTCTACATTTTTCTTAATAATCTTATTTAACTCTGACATTAATCTCCAAAGGAAGCCCTATGAGCATCATTTTGTAGATGAAGAAACTCAAGTTCAGAGTGAGTGGTTAGGACACTCATATAAGGCCATACATTTGATAAGATAAGAGGTTTTGATAGCCCAATGTGGTGGTGCATACCTTTAATTCCAGCACTCAGGAAGCAGAGGCAGGTGGATCTCTGTGAGATTGAGGCTAGCCTGGTCTACACAGTGAGTTCCAGGCCAGCTGGGGCTATAGGGAGACCCTATCTCAAAACAAAACAAGCAAAAAATAGATCATGATCTTTTGAGTTTAAATTCTTCCCTTTTGGTGTCGTCTTGATAGATTACAAGACCAAGAAGGAGCTACTGCTAAGGTCATTGGTTTGAAAGCTGAATTTGAAAATGTTGCCAAGTTAAAGTGCTAATTAATGCAGATTCTAACAGTAATTGGTCCTCTTGCTAATGTTTATTTCTAACTGATACTATAAGTGGGCACAAAAATGTAGCCACAAGAATCCATTCGTCTTTTATTGCATCATAAAATATAAAGATTAATATGATTAGTATGCCTTTTACTGCTGAATAACCCACAGTGGAAGCAACTCAGACTTCCCTGAGTTTATATCTATACATCCACTTTTAAATCCATAGTCCTTAGAATAGAACCATCCATAAATGTGGTTTGATGTAATAACATGGCAGTTTTGCAAATGGCTAATGAATTTCTTTCAGTGAATAAAAATTCATGGAACAGATGCTAAGAAACATGTGGAACGAATAAATCAGCTCAGGGCTTAGCAGTTTTTATTCGGTCTACACTGTTTTCTAAAGCTACCTTGGATTCTAGGCCTCTTCATATCACCACCTTTTTCACAGCAGAACTAAGAGGGAACAGAGGGAAGGATTTAAAGTTTACATTTGGAAACACTTCCATGTTTCTTAAACTTTTGATTTGACCGTTATTTTTATGTCTGTTAAATCCAAATCAAACTTCCAAAAAAGAATTCGCGGGAAAAAAACCAAACCGGAAAACCCTTCTCACTTACTGCACCTGGTAGTTTTACTGAGACGTAATGAAAATGGAGCTTTTTTTTTCCTGTTTCTTTTTCTGCTTTTTGCTAGGAGATGATTACGTTTCTTTACATTATTAGATAAAAGCTAAATACATTACACTTTCAACAAACTATTTTATAATTTAAGATTTAAAGGTCATGTGTTGTTTTTGAGCAGGCAGATCATTGCTGTTAGAGTTGAAGTGTAGGTCAGGTTTCATTTTTAAATGCCTTTGGTCAGATCTTTTCTGATAATTGGAGAAATGGTCTCTGAGGGCCAATTTTACCTTATGGCTGGGAACCTCAGCTGGGTTCAGAGTCCAGTGCTGAAACAGGGAATAAAACCATTGTAAAATCTTCCTTTCCTAGCACAGTTGCTGGTGTCAAAAGTCTGCCTTCCAGTTCTGGACGCATTTCCTCACAGAAAATGGAAATGTTAGCAAGAATGAACATTGTAGTAAACACATGCATTGTGTGGTACCATTCCAATTATAGTGAAAACACAGGTCTTTGGATATATATGGACAAACTCAAACTGCAGGATTTCTTAAACATTTATTTCTATTCTTACTCATTAATAATTTTCTTCAAGTGAGAAACATTGCTGCTCTTAAAAATGTTTCTTTGGGGGATTAAGGATTTAGCACAGTGGTAGAGCATTGGCTTAGCAAGTGTAGGGCCCTGGGTCCCATCCTTGGCTCTGAAAAAAACTTTTTTGAGGATTAGAGAGGTGGCTCAGTAGTTAAGAGCACACATTGCTCTTCCAGAAGACCTGAGTTTAGTTCCCAGCACCCATACCAGGTGGCTGTCAGTCATTTGTAACTCCAGCTCCAAGGGATCCGACACCCAGAAGGGGTATACTTGCACGCATGTAGTACCCCGAAACTCACACAGGCACACACATACACAGAAAATAAATCTTTAAAAAATTGTTTTTGAATGGTTAAAAAAAAAGCAATACCTTTGATTTTTCAACAAATGATGTTTGGTATCTGATTCTTTGTACTTTGTATTGTATTTTCATCATTTCCATCCTTCCCCCTCCAGCTCCTCTTCCCATGTCTCTTTCAGTTTCTTATGCCCTTCTTTGATACATATTATGCTATTCTTAAATCAAAGGCTGGGTGTAGCATCACATGCCTTTAATTACGGCGCTCTGAAGGCAGATCTCTGTGTGTTCAAGGCCAGCCTGGTTTATGTAATGAATTCCAGGCAAGCTCGGGCTACATAGTGAGTTCCTGTTTCAAAAAGCAAAAACAAAAAATATTGAGCCATTTGACAGAGTACTTATATATATATATATATAAAATCACTGAGCTCCTTTTGTGGTGCATGTATTTAGGGCTGACCTCTTGAGATTTGATAATCCATCAGGGAAATTGTTCTGAAGAAAACGGATCCTTCCTCCTTCAGCATTCACCGAGTGCCTGTATCTCTTCATCTAGAGGTGGGACCCTGTAAAATTTACCCCATCCACATTGGCATGTCAACTGACCCAGCAAGATGTCCCTAATGATGCAATAGTGGCACTTTTATTAACAGCTTTTATTATTGGACTTAGGCCTGCTCAATAGGGCACCCATGCATGCTACTGTAAGCATGGCCAAGTACACTGAATTGGAGAGGGAGTGGACTCTACAGAAGAGCCTGCTATGGCCACTTTCCTAAACCAATGTAATTTCTTACTGTATTCTAAATATACAGTCTTATATTCACAGATAGGTGCAGCTCTCACTCCTTATCAAATAAGCTTTTGCGATAGATGGAGACCATTACAAAATTTCACAATTGATCAAAATACAGACACTAAGCAACTATCTGATGCCTAGCTCCAAGTGATACATCTACAACGGAACCCTTATACCCAAGGCTCAGGGACCATCCTGGAAGAGGCAGCAGAAAGACTGTAAGAGCCAAAAGAACAGGACACCTGCTGATAGATAATACATTCTAGACATGATAGAGAAGCTGCGCCCAGGAAATCTCCACAATGTGGTTACCTAACGAGACCTGCATAATGACAACACCAGTTGGCAGGCCAATCTGATTCTTTTTAAATATTCCTTTTAGTATGACATTTGACAAGGGAATATTGTGCAACAGCATTACAAGCTGCAGGCTTCCTCTGTCAGGGTTTGATGGACCTGGGGCCCAGCTGAGGTCAGTGTCCTCAGCCTCTTCCTCTCACACCCATTCTCGTAGCCACTCTTTCAGTTATCCCCAATTTCATAAAGAGAGACAAAAATCCACCTTCAGAAGTGAGTTTCTGTGTACCTACTGTTTTTTATTCAAGTACCAGGAAATAAAATCTATGACCTTTTAAGATATGTGATTACTTAGAATGTTAAAATTTTCCTATTGAGATTATTTTATCTTGAAATTGGAAAACAAAATAAAATGCTTTTAAATAATCTAAGTGTAACCTAATCTCAAACTGGTAAAAACATTAAATTATATTTTTTCTGCTTGTTCTTAAAGATCAACAAACATTTCTAGAGTTATCAATGGAGAATCTCTGTCAGGCTTGGAGTCTAGCCACATCACTGTGAGGAAGTGTGGTCAGCAAGTGTCTCTGTGTTGCTATGTCTACTAGAAAACAATACATTCATAATGCTAGATTCATCAGGCTTCTTTTTTCTCTTCTAATGTCCCAAACCAATAATTTTCTCTGGAATTAGTTAAAATCATCCATGGAGAAAGTAAATATCAGCCTTGAACTCTTTAACTGATTCCCTAGAATTAAATCACTGCTGCACTCCATGGAAGTTTGGCTGTGCAGAGCATCATGCATGTTCTTGTAACTTTTCTGAAGGTTGAAATTATATCAAGTGTAAAGAAAAAAAAAACAAAAAAAAAACCTTCCATCAAGTGTCTGGGGCTATGAAAGTAAGGTTTAAAAGATACTAATGGTAGATAGTTTTAATAATAAAAGAAAATTCAAAGAAATAAAAAATTCATGTTGACTTTAATTCACTTCCAGGCTCAAAGTTATGGCAATAATATTAGATATACATGCTCTCTGTATGTCATCAGGGAATGCAAGGATTTAAACAACACCATATTCATCACATTTGGAACCATTAATCTTTCTCTTTTGGAGATATAAAAATAAATACAAATTTCCAAATAGATACTTTCTTTCTTTTAGTTTATATGGAATCAAATAAAGATTGTTACAATTTAAATTTAAGAAAACAGGCTTCAATCTTGAAAAATCTTTCAAGATTAACTTCTCTGTTAGACATACATTATCTGCCATTATCTCCAGAATATTTTAACTATTGACAAATCCATTCACTTTTTAATTTTATAAATGTACTACCCAAAAGAAGACTTACCTTTATTGTTTGTTCCCACAATTGCAGTTAATTTTTAAAATTTTTTATTTATTTAATTTTTTATGTGTATGAGTGTTTTGCCTACATGTATGTATATGCACCACATGCATGCAGTGCCTGAGAAGACCTGAAGAGGGCTTCAGATTCCCTAGAACTGGAGTTATGGACAGTTGTTAGCTTTGGGCTCCTCTGGAAGAGCAGCCAGTACTCTCAACCGCTGAACCATCTCTCCAACCCCCCAGTTTCAGTTATTTTTTATTTGGGTTTAATTTGCTCTTAGTATCACTACCTTGCAATGGACACCTCTGACCACCCAATTCTGGCTAGCAGCACATCTCTGTACTAGCTCTGTGGGTTGAGGCAGAGAGCAGGTATTCTTTACCATGGCACTCTCTGGCATCCAGCACAGCACATGTGCAAAGCCACCAATCCCCATTAAGTACTTGCTGATGAATAATTGGGAAAACACTTTTCAAGAACTGTAAAGCACTTTAAAAATACAAAACGTTTTAAATACTCATTACTGAACAGAAAGCAACATAGCTCGTTTTCTTGACAACTTCAAAATCTTGCCAGGACTTTGCAAATTAATTATCTGTACTTTAGAAGATTTGTATAATTTATTTCAAACAACTAGCATTTTCACCTTTCTTCTTGAAATCTGACACTCAAATAAAAGTTGTTGTTTGAATGAGTGGGTAAAACAGATAGGTCTTTGGGAAGTTGCAGCTATGTCTGAGAAAATGTTCTCCAGGAGCCCTGGATGAGCACACAGTAGAGGCCACTCCGGGGTCTGGCAGAATTGTCTAAGTGTATACTTAGCTGTTGTTCTTTATGGTGAACAAGTTTCTTATTTGTCTAGCTTATTTCCTTCCCTCTTTGCCAATTTCCATAATTAAGCTGAAAAAGAATTTCATTATTTTCTACGGTGAATGTTCTGAGATAGTTTCAAATGCAATCCAAAACTGATATTGTCACAGAATCCAAGTGTTATTAATAGAGAAGAATGATCCATCTAATCAGAACTGTTTGGGGCAGGGCCATTTTATGGGAGGTAAAAGTCTCCTTTGGCCTTTTTGCAGCTTTTCAGTAGTTCACCTCAGAGAACTTGAAAAGGGAAAAAACATTTTTCTTTCATACCAAAAAGAGAAATTTTAGTAATCAATGGTTTAAAATGAACTTTGGGTACATCCTAATCAGAGGGAAAGTTGTTTTTGTCAAGGTAGTATTTCAAATTCTATGTTTTAACTGTTTACTCCTTAGTATGAAAAAGGAGAGCATTCCATGGTTCATAAATCTTTGTCCCTGTAAGAATATTTTATGTGTGTCTCCCTCCAAAGATGGACTTGGACTCCAAATTGACAGCAACAAGTGATACACTCTTTAAAGGGCTCCTTGGCTGTAGGTCAGTTAGGAGTTAGCCGTGTTTTGATCCTTACACTCTTCATGGCTTATGACCATGCATCAGATGAAGACATGGCCTTGATTATCTAGGGTTCCTTTCAGATCTAACAGGGATTTTCTCTTCTGAGTATATTTTAATCAGTGTATTTTAATTTTGCTTTACAACTTGATGCATTTTTCCTCAGGCATGGTACATATGATTTAATGGATCTTTGTGTATTAATACTGTGAGACATAAATTCTTTGATAAGACGTTTAACACTGGAGATCAAGTCTGATTAGAAAGTCTTTGTTATCATCCAAGTAGAGAGTTCCCGAGAATTCTCCATCCGTGTCCTATTCTTCTCTGTCATCTTAAATACTTCATGCTGCAGTTCATGTCTACCCCTGCCTGAAAGGCCACCAAATTCCTGCCTATCTTGGCCATGATCCAGCCCTCCTGTGAACTTGTCCAGCACTTAAAACACTACTCATGATGCTGACAGACACTACCATATTATTGGGGTCTATTAAAAATGAACAAACTATTTCTGATTCTACTTCTCTGACCTTGGAGATGAGATTATTTTGTACTCATTCTTTTCTTTCCAGATAACCAAGCTGAAAATAGACAGCAATCCTTTTGCCAAAGGATTCCGGGACTCCTCCAGGCTCACTGACATTGAAAGGTAATGAGAATTTTCTGCTTGCTTTTTTGTCTAGATAAGATAGAGAATGGGTTGTAAAACACGTGCCTTTGGACACCAATAACGCTGCCTTCACTGCGCGCACCTTCTCTTCTAGTGGCAACACTGGCTCTGTGCAGCTGCTTAAGTCTTGAGAGCGGCTGCAACTGATTGCTCAAATGCTTGATTTTGGAGTGAAGGGGCTTCTTTGATGCGGACATACATTTCACAGTGAAAAATAAGGCTTTGTTATTAAAGACTGGGTTCTCCTTGTGAATGAACATAATGTCTTAATGAGTAGCAATCTGTATGGAAGTGGAAACTACAGAGCTTTTTGCCTTTAGAAGGGAATGTGTTTGCTAACACAAGAATACCAGGATCATTTGAAATTTTAAAACCAGGAGATGTAATTTAATTCAAGATCACACAATTTTATCTGTAAAGTACACTGCTCATCTTTAATAGAAATATCAGGTCTCAGGAAGAAGACAAGTAATACAGTCCTGTACTTGAGACTGATCCCCTTCTCAACTACTGTGGTTGATGTAGTTTGAGACCATCTCAGTGACAGATAATGAGGCTTAAGATTCAGAGCTATGAATATGAATGACTTGATTGCTTATTTATTTTCCTTAAAATATTTCCCCACTTCAACTTTTTATGCAGCCTAATACCTTTATTAAAGTTGGAATACCATAGCCACCCTCCTGCCTACTGTTCCTTCATGTCTTTATGTGACCCTTCTGCCAACTGCTACAAATTTTAGCTAAACTTTTTATTGCCTACCACATGAACACATCTGACCTTGCACTTTTGCCAAACCTGTCTTGGCAACTTAAATGAAAAGATAATTATGTTTTAGTCTTATATTAGTTAGCTTTCCGTTTGCTGTGATAAAAACACTGACCAAACACAACTTAGGGAGGAAAGGGTTTATTTGGCTTACAGCACAGTCCATCATCAAGGGAAAATAAGTCAGGAATTCAAGGCAGGAACCTGGAGCTCAGTCTATGGAAAGTGCAGCTTATTGGCTTGCTTCTCTGGCCAGTGCTCAGCTTTTTTACAATAAAAGACCACCCACCCAGGGGTGGCACCACCCATATCAGCAATCAAGAAAATACCCCACAGACATAGACACAGGCAAATCCAATGGAGGCAATTCCCCAGTTGAGATCCCCTTACCTGAGTGTGCCAAATTGACAGCTAAAGCTATCCAGCACAAGCCACTTCTGTGTGATTCTTCCTAAGCCAGCCCAAATGGCAGAGCATGGGGAGGTGTTATGATTGGTGGCAATAGTCCCAGAGGCTGAGGGGGAGCCAAAGAAGAAGCAGAACTAGCTGAATACCAGACAGATCTGTGGGGTTTGAGTCAAGAAGAAAGATTAATGAGTTGCAGAATCTGACCAGGGGTTGGAGTGGGGAAGCCAGTGGAAGAACCTTGGACTGGTAGATGAACATCCCTTGGCAAATTCAGAGAGAAGATTTGTTAGAGAATCAAGTATGCTGACATCTATGAAAGCACATTGTAAACCTAAAAATGCAAACTAATTCTAAGTTCTCATGTTACTAGATGAACATTTCCTTTAACATTTTGGATGCTGTCTGGGTAACTTTGAATGGTCTTCATGAACTGATCTTAGAGTAAAAATAGGCCTGTCGTAGCACACATGCTCATGAGATAGGAGTGCCCAGCCTGGCTGCCCTTTAGAACAGCAGATTTGATAATGCATGTGCACATTTTCTACTTATTGAATAAGCATCCTGATGTGAGAGCACTCACATGTTCATGAAACTAAGTGGCTTGCGATGGTCCTAAGGCCAAGAGAGCACTCTTATGTGACTAGCCAGAAGTTTGCAAGATGACCTAAGTGGTGTGAAACTGGCCAAGGTTTTGGATTTCATTTCCAGGTATTTAAGTCTGAATTTTTCCTAAACAGCCTTTGGGGATGGGAAAAATCAGATCAATTGATCTTTAGAGACCTAAAGAAATTAGATTAGTCTGGAGTCAGTTACTGCACTAAACCACGTAGTAATTGAATTGTTCCTTGTAACTGATTGAAAACAGCCCTATCTGTAACAATATTGAGAGCTTTTCTTTATAAGAGATCTGAGAGAAAAACACATTTTTTTATGACATGATGACAGATATTGCATTTTTCTGACCTAATTGAATATGATGTAATAAAAATGTGGCCTTAATGATTTCCTTAATGGTTTCCTGTTCCAGATTTATAACTTACACTGTATGGGACAACCAAACCAAAATGCCTTTAGGACGGGACCTGCATGCTTAGACCCCTAAACACAACAGTCAGCTTTGGGTGCTTTTAAAGGCATCATGGTTTTTCTTTTTCTAGTTGTACTAGGTTCTACTCAGTTGAATGTGTCCTGTCTTTCACACACAACTTTATTATAGGGGGACAGTATTGTCTTCCCTCATAAAAGAAAACCTAAGTCTTATCAAAAATCGAAAGCACACCTCTGGTAGCCAGCTAAGAAGCACACTAAAAGTCCAGAAGGATGGCTTAATATAATATAATTTCTAGTTATTCAGATCAGGAGAAGGGTTCTTTGATGGTTCTGAATAGTAAGTCACCTACAGGTAGCCTGCCAGTTGGCCTTTGCTTTTTCTCATTTTGTGGGGCAGGGGCACCTAATAGATACACCAAAACTCACTGTTACTTCCGAGAAAGGAAAACTAACTAGAAGTAGTTTTATATATTTTCTTTAAAAATTGTTTTCCTTTTTACAAAAAGAGTTTATACACAGTGCAGGGGGAAAAAGCCCTCAAACCAATCCTGACAGGCAAGGGAAAAAACACATCAAAGAGTAATGCCAGCTGCCTTCATTACCACATGTTCCTCCAGACACTTTCTTCTGCATGCGTGGAACACTTTTGCCCCTCACAATTTGTCACACTCTGAATACTATTGTTAACCATTTTCTCTGCTACATGTTTGTAAGAAACTTTTTAGTGACTATTTGATTTTTCATCTTGTATCATGATTTAGGTTCTTTTTTTCCTCTATAAACAATGCTAAGAGGAGAATGTATTTCTTTACACATACTCTTAATGATGACCATAGGATAAATAGCTACAGATAAGATGCTAGGTCAAATCACATACTTCTTTCTTTGTGCCACAGCGTAACTTTTAGTGTTAAAATTTTGGGTAAAGAACCTAAATGTTCAGTAGTAGCAAATGGTTGTTTGATAAACTTTATGTTCATGTGATTTTTCCTAAATAAAAGTGTTCAAATATGTAATATAAATTTTGTCATTAGACCATTGCTGTATGCTATTCTGTGACATTAGGTAGAGTCACAGTATCAGGTAACCATCTCCTGTTCTTTTCTAGAGTATTTTCATTATTACAGGGAGATGCTATACTTATTAAATGGTTTCCCATTCCTTCTCCCACTGGCCGCAGCCCTCGGTAGTCTCTATTTTACTTTCTCTCTGTCTAGCTAAGTACCACATATAAGTGGACAGATACATCTTCTCAACTCTATTTAACACACAGCCAAACTTCCTCAAGAGATGACCCATTTCTTTGCACCTGTCAAACATGGTCATTATCTTTTCATCTTTACTGATACGATGGGGTCAATTTGTATTTTCTTTTAGAAATTGACTCATTTATTTCTTGACTTTAAATTTTTCTTTTGCATTTATCTTCTCTTATCCACCTATGAAAACGATTTATGTATTTTAAATATATTTGTTAATTTTTGGCTTAACTATAAATCTCCCTTTACTGTATACCTGATTCTTATCTATTCTCGTTCTTATAGTGTATCAGGCTCCTTGTATTACACTGCTGTACTTTTCATAAATTGATATTATATATAAATATTTGATGATCTCCAAATATCTGAGTTGTCAAATCTCTATTTCCTTTTCACTTGCAATTTCTTTTGATATTCTTTGATTTTAATGCATCCAGTTTTCAGAAGCACTTGGCCAGGTCTTCCCCCAAAAATGTCTTGGGAATTTTGATTGGGCTTGTATTAAAATTTTACACTAATTTTCTGGAGGAAATTGATGGCTTTATCATATAAAACATTCTGTTAATGAATATGTCACTTTTTAAAAAAAAAAAACTAAATATCCTCTTATATTGAGAGAATTTTTTTTTGCATTTCAGGCTTCTAAGTCCTGCACATGTTTTCCTAGGTACATACTTAGGTCAATGAGAGCTGCATCATTCAATATAATAGCTACTGACTAAAGGTTCCTAGTGAAAACTTGAAATGTGTGAGTTTAAAAACAAAAAACAAGAGGACCTCCCACCCAGCCTCTCTGAACTGTATTTTAAAAAATCAATGTAAAAATGAAAGGATTTTATTGATAGCTTAAAATATTGATTATATATTAAAATATTTTGGATTCTTGGGTTAACTAAAATGTTTTGTTGTTTTTCTAAATGCGATGACTAGACTGTTTCAGAATTGCGTATGTAGCTCACATGACATTTTTACTGGAAAATTCTATATTAAAGAGATTTTTCATGGGATAGGGTTTGTTTTGGTAAGTAGAATTTTAAATTAGTAATCTGACTACTTTAATTTGTAAAAAAATTCAATTCCCTGTGTCTTTGACATTCTTCCATTTTAATGAACACAAAAATAAGTTTTTGTAAATTCTAATTTTAGTTCATGTTCCAGTTGAATTGCTATGTAGGTTGCAAAAGATGATGATTTTGTCTTCTTATCTAATAATCACACTTTAAAAACAATCTTTCTTGCTTTATGATACTAACTAAAGTATATTATTTAAAATTAAAAATCTTTGGCATTTTTCTTCTTTTCTTATTTTTCAATGCTACTAGTATTTTATTATTATGAGTAGTTTTCACTGGTTATTACTTTCAGATGGATATTTTTTGTTATGTAAA